CTCCGAATACCCCGCAAGGCCACCCGTGAGAAGATGCAGCCCCCATGCTCCAGGTTCAAAAGCTGTAAGAGTCACTGTCAGTGATGGAGAGCAAGTACCCGCCTGCTTCTGCAGAGGGCTCTGCTGCTCCCACTTGCCTGGGTCAGACAAAAACCAGCCCGTAACCCATTTCAAGTTCCTTCCTCCCCATCTTGGGCACAGCTGCCATCTCTGTGCATGTCACACTCCCCTAGCTCACAAGGGCTTTAAACTCCCACCACATCTGAACCAGAAGTCAGTCTGCAGCCTGGCATGAGCCCTGCCCCTTGAGCCAAAAAGGACAGTCACCTACAGCCAGGCAGATGCCTGGCCATTTATTAATGTGGTGTTAGTGACTAGAACGACAGAATTCCCCAGTTTGGCCTGCAGTGCCCCCTCATGAATAAGCAAACAAGACAAGCCTTTATGAAACTGAAAGCCATTACTTGTTGTTGCTCAAACCAACAGGCTTCTTCCTGAAGCCAGTTCCTTTTCTGCACACACGAAGGTAACCAGCCCTACAGAAGCCTCAGACACCAATGCCAGCTCGCACTGGTCTGAAGATTCCTCCCAAGTGTGGCTCATTCGAGGAGCACATCCATGAATTTGGCCAGGGTAACTGAACCACAGTCTTTTGCATCAGCACAGCAAAGGACACAAGGAAGAAACCGAAGCCCTTTCTGTTAAAAAAAACGCCAAGAAGCTGCAACATCCTCCTGCAAGAAGGAAGGTGTTTCACCACATGCTGTCTCAGGAAGAAATGCAGACACTGCCCTTCCGTGCAAGGCGTCATCCTGATCAGATGCAGTGGCGAAAGCAGTCCCAGCACAAGCCCTGAGGCCAGGAGCTCAGCCCAACCACCCCAACAGCTCAGGCTAGTCCCTCCCAAACCAGCTCATTTCCAAGTTACATGAACCCAGGTCAAAACGGCCAGTTCTCACTTCCAGTCCATTCCCAGGACACTCTGCAGCGAGGACACCTGCTCATTCTAGCCCAGAAACTGGGCTTCAGGTTTCTATGGCTATTCTAGGACTCATCAGAAGCGGGCAAAATACCTCACAACAGCTATAACCCGAGCACATTGTCTGGGAGAATTTCTCCACCAGAAACCCCCCATTCTACCCGAGCCAGGGGTGTGAAGGGTTTAAACTCCTGAGCTAAATAATCTCTGGATGCTTGGGATTATTTGCACGTAGTCATGCTGAGCAAAGCAGGACGCAGGGAGGAACTGGGGCTAATCTGTAACTAGATTATCTCCTCTGTACACGTTACCAGTGGGTTTTCCACCTCCCAACCGAGCAAAGTTCAGTTTCATTTTTAATCACTTCTCAGCTGTTTTAACTCCCTCGAAACCAGGGCCACACGCCATCCCCTAAATGCCCCAGCCGAGAGTTCGGGGGCCCTCCCCTTTCTGAGGGGGCGGGGGGGTGCAGAGGCCTTGCCCCAGCCCCAAGGGCCAGCCCCGGCCTCGGCCTCTCCCAGCCCCCGCGGCGCG